GTATGGTTTTATGCTGCTTGTAGCAATATTCCAGCAATATCACAGCGGGGGACACCAGAAATGGGCTTCACACATTGTACCCATGTCGGGAATCAAACCCATGTCTTCGGTGTGACGAGCGAACGCTTTAACCACTAGGCTACCCGACTGCCCCGCAAGGCTGATAGAGTTTTCCAAGAATATGATAATAACAGAAGACTACAAACAAAAGTTCATGAGTTGCAAGTTGCATGAGTTGACTGTCCTTTTGAAAACATATATGGGAAAATTGTTCATAGACCCCATTGCTTGGTGGGACTTGCCTACCGTTGGTTGACAAACTGGAAAGAATTTTGTTGCAACATTTTGCATTATTATTTCAATTAAAGAGAGGCTGAGTGAAATACTTGCCATGTATTGAGACATTTTCTCATAAGAAATTGGAACAAGTGCAAAAGTGAGCGTGGCTCACTAAAACCCCCGACCCGCCTAGTTTGTCAGTCGTTACAAATTAAATAGCTAGGATAGGGTTAGGGTTTGAAAAATTCATAAAAAAATGGAAAATTAATAAAAACAACTTTTTTCTTTTGACTGCACCCCTTCATATGACACAGATTATATGTACTAAGTTTGAGATGAATCCCCTGAATAGTTCAAGAGAAATCGCGCGGACAAAGTTTTCGGATGGACGTTAGGGTTTGAAAAATTCATAAAAAAATGGAAAATTAATAAAAACAATTTTTTTCTTTTGACTGCACCCCTTCATATGACACAGATTATATGTACTAAGTTTGAGATGAATCCCCTGAATAGTTTAATAGAAATCGCGTGGACAAAGTTTTCAGACGGAGGGAACCTTGGTATAACTATATAAAAATTGGAGGAATATAAACACATATCAGTGAAAGAGTGACTGTGTCCAATATTCATCAAGGCAACAGTGTGCAAAACAAACAGTAACCGATGGTCCTCAAAATTCTGATCGGCCTACAATTTAAGAAGCCAAGCTAGACTGATTGTCTATGATGACTAAACTAAAGGATCAGGTAAAACTAAGAAGTTTGACAGATATTATGTTATTTTTATACAATCTTTTAACATTTTAACATCGTTCAGAGTTTGTTCATCTAGTCAATTTTACAACAACAAAAGAAGCTATCTAATATTGTTACATTCATTTTGAATGTTGATGATATTGTAATGTGGCATCGTATATTGTAACTTTATTTCTGATGATGGTAATTGGCAATTTAATGGAGGCGCCTGTAAAGTGTGAGATTTGGTAGTGACCTCCCTAGGATGTGTATGTTCCAACCTACCCTTGCGTCTATCTACTTGCTCAGTACAGATAGGATACCTATATATGAAAAACAAATCTGCCTGCTTCCAACACCAGTTCCTGAATTTAAGAATAGAGCAATCAAGACATTCAACTATGACAAATAATTAACATTTGTGACATCACTCATATAACTTTTGTAACATTGCCTATTATTAACTGCTGCTGCCACTTACTTTGATCCGTTGTATTGCCTATTAAGATTGTAAAGCTTCTGTTGTGTAGTTTGATATAATTGGTTGCTTGTTTTTGTGTGTTTTTAACTGATTTCACAATCTAGTTCTGCAAACCTGGAGAAGAACTGTCAATGAGTGGCCTGTGATGATGATAACTATGACGTGCAAAAAAACAAAAGTAAGGCATACAAAGACAAATTACACTGCAAAAAATACCATCTATACAAGCTTGTATATGCTTTGGAATGATGATATATCCAAAGCATATATACAAGTTTTGAATGATGAGATATACAAAAATATACAAGTTTGTACATATGATATATCCAAAAATATACAATTTTGTATATATAATGTTTCCAAATTTGTTTTCTTTGTATATATTGGTAAGGGAGATAATTGTTATGCATTCATGTATAATTATCATATATGTGCAAAATGAAGTGTTTAAGTTGAGCACTGTGTTTCTTTGTATATGTTGGTAACGGGGGATAATTGCTATGTATTGTTCTATTACTGTTTTGTATGTGCAAAAGTTACACAGAAATTGTTAATACTCCAATGATGATAAAGTTGACTTTTATAAGGGAATGAGATGTTTTACAGTTGTTCATGTGAAAAAACTATAAACACTGAAAAAAAACTTTATTCAGCGTCCGAAAACCCCTAACACGGGGATATACGAGGGGTGTTCATTAAAGATTTCCCCTAAACCACTTAGGGTTATCATATTTGGTTGAAATTTCACATGTGTAATGATACATGTATCTATGGGTTATGTCTGAATTTGCAGCACCGAACTATTAATCTTACCACTTTTACAGGTGTTATGATCAAGTAGGGTGTGACAATGGAGCCAGTAGAATACCGAGCAGTGATTAGGTTTTTATATTTGAAAGGTCGCACACCAAAAGAAACTTTCGATGAAATGAAAGCAACTTATGCGGAAGATGCCCCATCATATGACGTTGTTAAACACTGGCATCGCCAGTTCAAGTGTGGTCGGACATCTGTAGAAACAGCTGCCATTCCTGGTCGCCCCCATTCAGCCATTGATGAGGACACTATCCATCAAGTGGAGACCGCCATTTTGGCAGACCGAAGCATAACTGTTTGCCAGTTAGCACAAGATGTCAAGATCAGTGTAGGGTCTGTGGAAAAAATCATCCATGACAATTTGGACATGCATAAGGTGTCTGCACGATGGATTCCCAGGTTGGTCACACCTTTCCAAAAGCAGGAACGAGTCAATTGCTCAAAGGATCTTTTGGACATGTGCTAAAAAAAACAGGCAAACTTTTTTGACAGACTTATCACACAGGATAAAACATGGGTCCATCACTATGATCCTGAGACTAAAGTTCAGTCGATGCAATGGAAGCATGTGGAGTCACCACCCCCAAAGAAGGCACAGGTCCAACCCTCTGCAGGCAAGGTCATGCTCACGGTGTTTTGGGACCAGCACAGAGTAGTGATGATGGATTTCTTGGCAAAGGGTACCACAATTACAGGAGCTTATTATGCTTCACTGCTGTGGAAATTGCGGGACGCTATCAAGCTTAAGAGGCGTGGCATGCTGACCAAGGGTGTCCGTCTCCTGAAGACAATCATGGTTCCCACTATTTTTCTTCCGAAAAATTCCCTGACATTTCCCTGATATTTCCAGAGAACTTAGAACTTTTCCAGACTGCATTACACGGCCTCCATTATAACAACTGTGAGTGGTGTTTTAACTTTATTATATAAACAGCTTTAAAATAGACCAATGGAAACGTCTTTTTTTAGATATTTCTGTACAAAAGTGTGTTATGTTTGGTTTAAGGAAAACTAAGTCACCAAGTAATTATCCTCCCCTTAAGGCCATCCATCTGCCACCATTTAAAGAGTTCAAACTACAAATTAACTCCATCAATCATTGCCTAATCAAAACAAGTATTACAATTTTTGAAAATGGACTTCAGGACTAGGATCTCACAACTTTAGAAACATGAACATGAACTAATTAGTAACATTATAATAAAGTAAATACCATCACTACTTTCAGTGCAACATTCATGCACAGCATTTCTCAAACTAACCATTCAAATATACATCTGCACTTTCAAAAGGTCACCAGGGAATAGATAATTATAACCACAACTGAAGTCACCCTAAGTTTTTCCAATGATTTATCTAACACTGATACACTTTTCATTAACAAAAAGCTTTATAGAATCCTAATTGCATTATTTTGTTTGTTCTTGAACAGTAGAACTTTATGAGATTTGAAATTTTACATTCAAATTGATTTCTGAAATTCAAATGGTAAACTAATACCAAGGCAATGTAATATTTTACTCAAAATATTTTAAATTTAGAATTTAGTTAGCTCTGGAGGTAAGGGGCGCAAATCCCTATCAGCCACATTGACCTTGACCTTGATATAGTAAAATTTGACAAATACCTCTTTTTCAAACGAATAAATTCCATTGCTTAAATTTGAGTGGCTGCCACAACCATTAAATAATAGAGAGTATGAGTTCCAAGAGCAAAAAAATCCCTGATAAATCCCTGATTTTGAAGTTTTTAGTGAATTCCCTGATATTTTCCTGACTGGAAATTTTTCCAACACATTTCCAGGTTTTCCAGTGGCAGTGGGAACCATGACAATGCTCCAGTACACAACTCTCATGTTGCCCAGACAGAAGTACGGTCCTGTGGCTATGAAATCTTTCCACATCCTCCTAAATCTCCTGACCTTGCACCATCTGACTTCCACCTCTTTCCAACCATGAAGTCATGTTTGAAGGGAAAACGTTTCACAGATGATGAAACACTGATTTCTGAAGTCAAGTCCTGGTTTGAGATGCAAAATGAGGGCTTTTACAAGCGAGGTCTCCATAGTTGCGTAAAACGATGGGAGAAGTGTGTAACTCTTGGTGGTTCCTATGTGGAGAAAGACTAATACCTATGCCAAGTTTCATTCCACTAGGTCCATCGGAAGTGGGTCAGGGGAAATCTTTAATGAACACCCCTCGTATGTTGTATTAATGTCTTATGTTATAGAAAAGGTAAGTAAGTACAAAGGTAAGCTTTTCTCAATCTGCTTCAACATGGGAAATGGAACATTGTGCATTTGTGGCAGTATTGCTCCCAGACCGGGTGGCCGGGTGCGCGGAAGCTATTTCCGATTTTTTAAAAGTACTGATTTAACTCGTTTATTTGACTTTTGCCACTGTTACATTTGTTGGTATGAATATTGTCCAAACGGCACGAAATTGCTCAAAAATTTACTGCATCCGCCACCTTTGTTTATTTGACTTTTGCCACTGTTACATTTGTTGGTATGAATATTTTCCAAACGGCACAAAATTGCTTAAAATGCAGTCAAATGTTTAAAACATTTCTGGGGGCTCAGCCTAATATCGTTTGCAAAGTCAACAAACTACGACCGTAAATGTAATGTACAACAGACGCAAGAATTTTTTTTAAAAGTATTACAAATACAAATGATAAGAAGTCGAATATGAATACTTATACCTGTATTTTTTAGAACAAGAAATTGACACATGTATTACTTTACACACCACACCACACCACACCACACCACACCACACCACACCACACCACTACAGCATTCCCTACTCGGTATTGACCAATGACAGATCCTTCTTCATGTCAGGGAATGGGTTTTTGGATGGTGGTCAACGGACACATCTTGCCTTAGGGAAGGCTGCTGTACTGTCCAGCTTCTTCATGTATGTCTCATCTGCAAGGCTCTTCGCCATCTGCAGTTCCGTTGACTCACAGTTCTTTGGCCGTACTGTAAAATCTTTATGCCGTCTTCGTCATAAATACTTTCCTCAGAGGACATCAACTGAGCTATCTTTCATGCGTCCTTGTACCTCCGTTTCTTCTGGACGGGAAGGTCGCGATGGCGTATACCGAGGACTCGGTTACGACTCTTCTGAAGAAAAACAACAACTTTATTTACAATTGCATTTCAAATTTATAATGCATAAGCATGTATAGCCATGTTAAAATCAAATTCAAATTTATTCCGATAACCCTTAACCAACGTGTCAGTATTATAGCATGATTAGTGTATTAGAACAACACTATTTGTGAATGGCAGATGCTACCGGTAGTGTTGGGTATGCTTACCCTTTTTGAAGATTCACTCTTTGTAATTCGACATCAAAGGGATTACATCACACTCTAAGTAAACAATCTCATTTAACCCTTAATTAGTCTAGTTAACCTGCAGTATACTGTATCACTTAGCACTGCCTTAACAAGGTTTAATCCCTTGTCAGTTGTTGGTGAGTGATCCATTAATGTCTTGAGAAAGGGATTAGCCTTAGTCACAATAAATTAACATTCCACACTGCAGCACAAGAGATTATCAATCATTATGCCTTTATAAGAAAGTGAGAAAGATGATATAAACATATTTATTTCCATAAAGTGGAGGGATTGGCAAACAAGCAAATTTTGCTTATCTGAATGCCTCTCCCAAACATGATACATATACAAATAGCAATGTATTGATAGTGACATGAGAAATAGCAATACCATACATTGTATAATTGGCATTAAAGGTAAGTGTTGTTCTGTAAGTGTTTAATTACTGGATTATCTTCCATAACTAGTTACATTATTATTTACAGTCAGCACAACAACATCGCAGTATCATATGGCAAAGCCATCATCTCAGACAAAATCTCTAAATCGGCAAGAAGATAGAATAAAACTGCACCGATTTCAAAATTTCAAGATTTGTTACTGTCGTTACATTTGAATTACCATTTAGAATTGAATTTAAATCGTAGCCTTTTACGAAATAATACATGTTTTGCCTTACTGTACTGTTTAAGGGACACGTAAGAAAGAAATGAAGTGCATCTTCCGTATGTGAGAAAGATAAAGATTGAATGATACATAACGAACCCTGCCTGCATTATATAGCCTGCAAGAATCGTCACTGTAAACTAATAGAGGATTAATTTCAATTATACAGAATATTCAACTGCTAAGTACCGTATTCGACGTAATAAGCGCCCAGGGCGCTCTCAAAATTAGAAATAGGGGGCTCTTATTAGAATATTATTTTGGTGACAAAAAACAGAGTTGAAAGATGAAATTTTGTGGTATATGCTGACAGCCTGAAATGTTTATGAATGACAAATATATTTTTCAAAATTAAATGCCCATAATTAAGCGTAATATAATACACAAGTGCGTATTATACGCGAATAAATAAGTGTTGTGTACATTGATCAATCAGAAGGGGTGCTAATTGGAATTGTTCACTAGCCAATATCTTAGCAAATGTCGCCGTTGGCGCTTATTACGTCGAATACGGTATATGATAAAGTGTTGAAGTAGCATTAGATATGTTTGAGATTAAAGTTTTCAAGTAAATGTATAATGTACCTTGCTGTCTTTGAGAGAGGCAGTGCCTGTAGAGCTGGCTTTGTCTAATTGGTATTCACTCCCTGGGACAAAAATATTGGTAACTAGCATTGTATTGTGAGCAGCCGGATGCGTAAATAATATGTAATATATTTCCGTCTTATATTTTATAGTACTTGTTGTTTTAATATTATATAATAATATATAACAACAGAGAGAACGAAGATTTTTTTTAAAAACCACAACAGCATGCATATGTTCTAGCCAAAAGAAACTTGATAAATATTAATTTTGCTTAATTTCTACTATGGAAAACTAAGTTGGCGCTCTGAAAGCTTGACGCTGTATAATTTGGCACGCGCATGGTTGGGTGCAAACCAATGTTTAATTCTCGCAAATTAAGACACCAGCGGCGGTATAGGAGCATATATCTAATGTCATTCAATACAAAATAATATATCAAGATGGCAGTTTCAATGTAAAGATTAAGTATCTTCTAAAGATATGGAAAATAAATCTTGATAACTGTTTTTCATCTTTGATCTTTTTGGAAAATAATAGTGGAACTGGTTGAGTGACTGACGTATTCTACATTAACAGTGACAGGAACGTGATTTTCATCATTAAAATATAAAATAATCTACACAGTGATACAATTATAAGTGAGGGTTGTGATTTATTTAGGAACGAAGTCAGTATTTGGGGATTTAACAGCTTTCCGACATTATGTGTATTTCGCACACGATTAAGAAAAAAATGTAATTCATTTATTTATACGAAGTACGAATGCATCAATCCTACATCACAGGACTAAGTACATAGTTTGTTGATTGTTATTTCATGAATACACAAATTGCATAACACATTCCCTGAGGACAAACCCAAATGGCCCGTCCCTTTGTGACAGGTGTTACCGGTAATTAGAGAATGTATTGCCACCACATTATGTCCCGGCACTTTTATGACATGTAATGCACCTAGACAGTCCCTGGGTCTGTAACAACAACATTGGTCTTATATTATCAAAGTAACATAAATGTTACATAATCGGTATTCAAAAATTGACTGAAAGAATATGACATAAATATATAGGCCCTTTTGGGGATAATATAATATTGGGAAAATATCCTTAAAAGTACATGACTAAAGAATTTCAGAATCAACTGTTTCTTGTATTTATGGAGGACTTCACACAAACTGAAAAATTAAACATATGTTTATATAGCTATATTTATATGCATGACACCTAAATTAACATGAAATAATAATGTTGGTTATGTTTGTTAATTTGTACATTTCGTTGTTATTGGTATCTTGAGGATGTTGTAATTATACACGTGTTCTGATCTTATTTGACGTAGAATACATGAACTGGTTGAGTGGGGAACACCTCACTGTGCCCTCACCCATTGTTATAGGGTACAGGTGCAGTCAGCCTTGGTTAAGTGGGTAACAATAGGGGGATTACCTATAGTCTGTTGCATGTCTATATAGAGAAAATTACTATCTGTCAGATTCATAAAATTTCATATACATTTCAACAGTACATTCACTTTACAGATGCATATATTTAATAAAATTTCATATATTTCATATTGCATAAATAAATATACATTTCAAATTCACTTTACAGCAGAAATATTCAGTTCACAATCCAACATATTCAGCCACCCACGTCAGATTATTCAGTTGGTGTCAGTCTGCCAGTCAACAAGTTGTCCTTCTCTATAAGGATGTTGTCGTCAATTTGGAGATGTTTCCTTCTCTTTGGTGGCAGTCGTCCTCCGGCATGAATTTGCATCAATAATGTCTCTGAACGTGATTGTTCATTCTTGATAATGTCAATAAATTTGGAGATGTTTAGATGACTTGGGCCCAATTTCTTCAGCTTGGAGTGCCAGCCTTCTAAGCGATTGGTTGTCCTGGAACCTAGGGTCCCAAAATGGTTCCACACGTCTCTCCTGTCGCCGAACAGTCCTTCCTGCAGCAACGCCAATGCATGGTGGTGTTTCTTCTGTTCTTAATTCAGAATCTGTGTCCGTTGAAAACTAAGTTCTATCGACCTTGGGAGTTAGCAACAAATCGAACATTAACTAGAGCATTAGCCATTTTGTTATGGCAGTATGACTTGCAAATGCCATTTTATACACTTCCAAGATTGACATCAATCACTCATATATAATTTTAATCCTCCCTATGCATTTAATCATGTACATGAGAAAACTGTTCACCTATTATCATTAATTCTACCATGAATTTGGAATTTACTCGATTCTGATTGGTCAATCAGAGGCTATTAAATCACAATAAACCCCCTCTGATTGAAACAGCTGGTTTCATAGAATAGTACTATTTTCAGTCAGTGTCGGTAGGCATATTTAAATAATTATATCTGCAATTACAGGTTACAAAATGCACAGACGCGGTTACTACAATATTCAAAGGATGTGTGGCAATACAGTTCGTGCAGAAAACACGATAGAAATCTACACAGGGAATGTATTTACGTTTTGGAGACACAGAGAGCTTGGAATTTTGGCGCTTTTCTATATACGACTGTGACGTCATTTCTTTCGCATCACAATGAGCGATATGACGTCATAATGGTGACATGCGATGTAGAGCGAAAGCCTTGCAAAGCTTGCTTTGTTTTCTTTAGGGATGCCCACCTCATGTCAGCTTACCAAGCTGCCGTGCTTATATGCTTTCAATGCCTGTCATATGTTAGAGTGAAGTATTACGGTGTAAACAAACTGCTTGAGTATATAGGGCACCATATTTTGTTCGGTGATTCCGTAAATCAGATCGATAACCCACTCAAAATACTGAACTCAACCCATGCCGCTTCACTCAGTATATTTGCTAACACCAAAGAGTTCGCATTTTATTTAGTCATGGTAGAATGGAGATAAATATACTGTGTTTTCAATGTAGAGCTAGGTTACCTGTAGATTTAACCGCGCTAAATTTAACATTTGAAACCTCACGCTGCACGTTCGGTTCCAAATTCAATTTAGCGGGGTTAAATCTACAGGTAACCTAGCTCTACATTGAAAACACAGTATGTTTATCTCCTAAATAACAGTTAGACACTAATTGAACAGAGTTCACCCTCAGAAGAGGGTTCACCTTGGCTTAATGACACAGACTATACCAAGCTATTAAGTGATCTGTGTCTCTTACTCCCCTATAACCCACTACATGGGCGCACCCCCCCTTTTTATTTCGAAAAAAATCTTTATTTCTGTAAAAATTACCACCAAAGACAATAAATAGATCTTAATTGTGCATCCCCCCTTTTCAAAAAAGCTGTATCCGCCCATGCACTATAACAACATTTGGGGTGAGGGCACAGTGAGGTTAAACCGTTGAGTGACTTTCTTCCATCAGTGTGAAAGGATTACCCATATACCCTAAATCCTTTGTCAAACAGAAAGAAGTCACATAGGTATCATATCTAACTGGTACTAAAAGTTCACTATCAATGTCCTCTGATAACAAACTGTTACATTTAATATCCCCAAGCACCAATATGCTCATGGAGTAATTATCAGAAACCCGAATAATATCCTGTCTACATGGTCACACCCGGTGATTGTTTAGACATTCAGGCAATATGGCAGTCTGTATTCATTTCTTATATCCCCAAAGTCCCCACCAAGCTTCCTATATACATATTGTATTAAATAATACATATATACATTAAAACAGAACAAAAACGATTGGTCAACAGTTTGGTGCGGTCGATGGAAAGGTGTTCAATTACATGTACTAAGAAAAGCTATTTAACTGTTTAATACTTAATACGTGTCTTAAAATATGAATTAATTCTTAAGTTATTACATTAGTGCAAATCCACATGAACGTAGGATGTACATGGACTGATTTCGAAATAGCTAAATTGACAAATTGTTTCCCATAAACCACTGAATATAAACTCAATTAACCTTTAGAATAGAAAGGCGAATAGTTTCTTAATAAATTGTGTTTTAAGCCGATGGAAGTTTAAATCACTACAACCAAGTCCGACGTGATAAAGGATTATGTGACAAAATCTGGTATCATGGCTTAACTGTATATAAGTAACAGTGTCCAAGTTTAACAATCCTCTATATCAGATGACTATTCCAATTATTAATGGTATCAGGTAGGAATGACTTGGCATAGCATTCTGTTCTACAACATATAGTCTGTAAATTGGTTCGATTTCTTTAAATGTAATCACTAACAGCAAAGATGTTTTCCATCTTGTAAAAAGGTGTAATGGCTATGTTAGTTTCTCTAATATATTTTCTCGTGGCCTGTACCCCTTATCGTCCCACAAATAGTCCGTATAGTCCATATTGAGTGAGTGAGTTAAAATTTAACGTCTCATCGGCATTATTTCAGCGTCTGTAATGAATCTTAGTGTAAACTTTCTGGGATTAATTCTTGTTCTTGGTACAATTATCCGAAATATGGGCAATATATGCTTGTACATAACTTCTAACGATTTAAGGGAAAGGAGTTATTTAACTGAGTGAGTAAGTATGGTTCACGGCGGTGGACACCAGGAAGGTATTTAAGACTTCTAAGGCAATTAATCATAGGGCTTACCTTTTAACTTTATCGTCAATATCTGAATCTGACTAAATATTATTCCTAAAGTCATAAATATTAATTCCTTTCATTTTAAGATTAGGTTTTGCACTTCAGAAGGCTTTAACGTGAAATTGAAAAGTTTCTGTTTTCTCTGGATTCAATTTTACTTGCTTTCATCCATTTGGTAATTTTCTCCAAATCGGCATTAATATTTTACGCAGTAGTATTTAGAATTGTCCATTTAGGGAATTGTCTGGACCCCACTGCAAACACAGTAAAGAGAAATTCCAATGTGAATATTATGTACAATAGTTTGTTGGCTCGACATGCAAGACTCCATAATTTTAGTTATAATGTAAAAGTCGTAATATTAAATTATATTTTTTTTAAAATTATTAATGTATATTTGACATGAAAGACAGGCGACACACATTGTATTTTATAATAATGCACAATTTTGAATGCTTTAAACCTGTTGCATTAAACAAATACTGGATTTGATGTTGTCATATCGTGAATCAATGTGTCTAGTCTTCCAAATGTTCTATTGCGAACACATATAGTGTCAGCGCTCATGATTGCCATATCTATGAATGAATGAAAATATCATCATTAATAAACTTACCTGAGCTCACTGTGTGTTCTGGAGACAAATCGCTGTAGGGCATCCTGCACGACTTCGTTCACGTTCACCCTCAAATGTACGATAGAAATATCTGCATGTTCAATGTTCGAATGCATTTTTGCGACAGGTATTCGTTTATTTATTAAAATTCCACTAATTCATAAATCACATTGAGTTGCTCGCCTCTTCTCCAGTTGCTCACACTCTCCACTGATGCTAGCTGCCTTGGTTAACTGGAGTCCGGATGTAACTAATTACAAACTCTGTTCTAATTATGCTAATTGAGGAAGTGCATTATACTGGATGACAAACTTAGTAATCCTTTCACACTAATCCTTGTTTACAATGAACGCATGTCAATTGACTAAACAAACATCCTTAAGTAGAAGTATCACAATGGACGGTGTATACGACTGTTTGTCAAACAATATCAACCAATATTTTATATTTAGAATCACCATTACATGAAATCACAGAAACATAAATATTAAATTTTACTTTGAAAACTCCAGAACTAATGTAGTAAACGTAATATAATAGGAATTTATTCCAACAAAGTGTTTCCCATATATATGTTTCCTTGTACAATATTAAATTAATGGATTTTTTATCTATTACTTTGCAATGATCGTGACAATCGCGAAAAGTTTACTCTCTTGTTATTCCGCTTATTGGTTATTCTAGTTTAGACAGCGACAGCCTCTCGTTATACATACAGTGCTTTTCTAACCCCGACCTAGTTAAAACAGCGGCAGCCTTTTGTTATACAAACAGTGCTTTTTTAACCCCGATTTAGTTAAGACAGCGGGAGGCCTTTCGTTATATTTTGGAAATACCAAATATACAAAATTGTATATTTTGTATATAAATTGAATTTTCCCTTGTGTTAAATCTTTCCTAGAAAAATGGGAAATTCAGAAGAAGCTGGTTACACTTTCGGTCTGACAGCAAATCAATGCACATTGGGCCTGGCAGAGGAATGAAATAGAACAAATACGACCTGATGCTTAACAATGGATTAATGGGACAAACAACTTGATGCTGGACCCAATTCT